ATGGCTTTGAGAGTCGGACGTGATAATCTCCTGGCATAAGCATTAGAATGGAGGCTCACCTTGCTTTCTCAGGATGCTGCTGGTTGACATTTAACATCACAGAGAGAGGGGAGGTGGAGAGCCAGGTGCCCTACATGCACATTTGACCCCCTGCTAATGTCAGAGCGGGAAGGTCCCACACACTCATCCTCGATTCACTTGCACAAAACACTACAAGGGCACATAGTACAAAGTATCTGTCTCAGTGATTACAGAGGATTCACTTTCCTGTTTTATAGGTTTATGAAGCGGGAGGTGCAGTTCATCCAAAATATCACAATTCTAGACAACACATCATTTTTAATGGACTAGAATTCGGGTTAAGGTTTCTAATGTAACATACAGGGTTAATATTGTTTGATAGGCTTTAGGTGATCATAAAGAGCATTCTACAAGGAAACTTTTGTGTCTTGTAAATTTACATAAACTAAGTCATATCACAAACCACCTACACAAAATGTAATCTCGAGCCATCCTCTCTAATATATTATTTTTTTGAAATCACAGGTATTGCTGAATGTGTAATTTGAGAGAAATTAAAGCAAAGCCATATGTGAATGATTTAATACTGGGCGAAAAGCTCAATGTCTGCAAGGGAAGATGCACACTTTGGCAGACACACAGCCAGCAGGCCTGTAACCCAGTGCAGATGACCTGGTTCTGCTTGCACGCAACCATGAAATAACAACTGCAGTTTGGTGTTTGATGTTAGCTCGGGGAGCGTACTGTCCCTGCTCGGGCTAAGCAGGCAAACGTTATGGTCAGGATTTGTTTGAAAAAAATAAAAAGACGGAAAACAATTGCAAGGAGGTTATCCTGAAACACTGCAGGATTCACTGGGTTATTCTACAATTCTGGAGTGTATTGATTGCAGCTCAGGACTGGTGGCATGAAATATTGAAACACAAATAATCTGTTTTTTAGAATACACCAGACGTCATTTTGATATTGAACTCCTAAAAACTGCTGTAATGCATAATGCGTATTCATGGGGAAAGAGGCATGTGATCATGGTTTAATAACGTAAGAGCTTGTATACTTTTATAAACAGCAGTTATTGATATTGTTGTATCTGCATGGTTACCATAATAACCACACCTAGGCTCTGTGATATAGGAAAGTTGTGCTTTGTTGAGTTTTTATTCATTCATTTTTACAAACTACGTATGAAATTGATTTGTGTCTCCAAAAGCAATTTACAAACTGTGACACAAATGCCAATACAAATACACTGAATGCATTTTATTCATAAATTAATTCAATTTTTCTTAAGAACAAATATCAAGACAAGTTTTGAATAGAAAGTATACTAAAGTGGCAATCCTTAAGATTTCAGTCCTTGATTGAGAATTTCTATTTGAGTGAAAACAAAGGACTTGTGCTCAGAGTTTAGCAGTCTGGAGTCCAGGGCTGACTCCGAAATTCCACACCAACATGCTGATTTCCAGAATTGTGTGCATAGTTTCAATTTGGTGTGTGTATACAACGGACAAAAACTGTAATACAGCATTTTTTTCCAGGAATGTTGCCATAGACACCTAGTTCGTAATACTGCAAATATTTGAATATTGCAATACTTTCTTCAGTGGTCCAGGCGCAGTCACCCTTGTGTTGCCTCCTTCAGTGATGGTGACTTTACAGACATTTACTTAAATCTAAATATTGCCATTTTACTACATGCAAAAGCTTCTTGCGGTCCTGATGTAAATTATATTTGGGCACAACATAACTGAAAGACATTGTCATTATTTAATCAACATTTATATCAAATATTCTATTAATAAATATTCCATATATTTACTCAACCTATAGAAATACACAGTATGCCCCCTCTTTCTTATGTGGTACTGCATGTATGTTTACCTGTGTTGCTTTTGTAACAATAGAAGAAGCATCTTTTGATTTCAGCAGGAACCCAAAACTACTTTTTAAAACTTCTTAACGTGCATATTCAGGATTGTAGTCACTGCTTCTCACCAAACTGACTATTGATTATATTTGAGTTTAAGAGAATTCCAATGCAACTAAAAATACATTAGAATTTGTTAAAACAATTACGCTAATATTTTTAAGTTGCTGTCTAACATCCATCAGCAACACATCTGTACACATATGAAAGCAAAAAAATCATCAAAATTAAACTTCAGTTCAAACACCTTGTTATTCTTTATTTAAATCAAATTGTTACCAAACAAATATTGTCATAATTTTTCTTTAAACACGTTAATTATAGGACGACTTCACAACTATGTATACGATTACAATTATTCACCAATATCTGATGTGTAAAAAATAAGTAATGCCAACATGTCAAACAAGCTTTGATGTACATTGTATGCAGAATGATATAGTACAAAGAGCAAAATCGTTTAAGCTGTGTGAGTCTGTGGGGGGAGGCCTGATGCATGATGCAAAATATAAGGGGGGGGGCTGATGGAAAGGCTGCGATTATTAAGGCTTCTCGTTGCTAAAACTGATGCAACTACAACCCTTACAGCTGCAGAGCAAAGAGCCTGCAGATGCAGACATTTTACTACATAGGACATTTTCGTCTCGGTTTGGTTTCCAATTCGTTACACTGCTTCCCAAAAAGACTAACACCGATGCTTATTGAGCAGCCTTAATGTCTACAAGTACGTTTCAAATTAAAGTAATGCCTGCTAATTTGCCCGGTGCTAAATGTTAATTGATCTTGAGTAAAAATTAAGTTTCTTTTTCATTCGAGTCCATTCTTAAACAGGTATACGTTTCATGTGGCCGTGCTGCTGATGCAGGCCTGCTTATAGGATTTTCCCGTCAACAAATAACGGAATAGCTTCGGTCGAAAACGCACGTAGAGAAAAACAGCATTTCGATGTCGCCTTCGAGTTGTTGCACTTGTTCCTGTGGACTCCGCGTGAAGAAAGCCGTGCATAAGAAGGGCGTTTCGATCCTGCAGCCTCCGTGTTTTTTTCTTCTTCTTTCTTTTTGGTGTAAACTAATGGTATTCACGATGATAACGCGCTGCCACTGACTACATTAGTTTATGCAATTTCGTCAGATCGGCTCGGTGCTGTGCAGGCGGTTATACCCTCTTTTTGTCCTTTGAGTCCTCAGGTGTGGAGAACAACGTGTCACTGAGACAGGAATCACATTCCAGAGATGTTAAACGCATATCCAGCAGAAAAGTGAGACAGATGGACGGTGTACACTTTATAACAAGTCCAAATCCAGTCTTTCTTGGCCGTGTGTTTCCATCCGCCGACTAACTGCTGCACAGGACCCCAACTTCCTCGATTAGGCTGCAACTTTTACAAACTTCCACCTCTGTCCAAATGATGGAATTTTCATCTGCAGCCACTAGTTATTACTTTCTTTCTCTCCCACTTATTTCCCCCCTTCAGGCCACCCCTCTCACCGCCTTTTTTTTTTTAAACAGGGGGCCCAGTGGCTGGCTCTTGATTAATAAATGTTTATGTGTTTTGAAGTGTGGGACAAAAGGGGTTGGCCTGTGACCCCTAGGAGCCCCGACCTTGTGCGGGTTCATTGTGAGTCGCTGGGAAAGGGGCTTTGGGACGGAGACCCCGGGCCACTGACCCAAACACATCCCAGAGCCCTGCCATTCATGTGCGCACCGCTGCATGTCGCCCCGCAGCTCCCATTGTTTCAGCGGGAACAATAGCCCCCCCCCCCCCTCCTCTATGCCAGAGAGAAAGCAGCTTTCAAACTTCCCTCTCTAGCCTGATGCAAGCCCCAGCAGACTTTACCTCTAACCCTTCAAACAGCTAAAGAATAAAAAATGTTGACAAAACGTTAACGCTGTTAGTGGTAGCCCACGTTGCATCACACGCAAACGTTGCATCATTGCACTGACTGGGTTATTGCAGCCGTCAAAGGCCAACACTGTAACAGAGTGAAACAATACAACAGTAACGGAGTGAAACCGTGAACGAGATAATGGATGTGCAGAGGATGAGATGACGGGAGGAGAGAAGTCGAAGAAACAAAGCGTGAATAACATCTACAGGCTATTTCTAATGCTGGAATCATGTATATATTAATAGGTCGGAGGTAAGTAGGCATTAGCGGGACTGTGTGTTCCGCCTTGGCTACAGGGTTAGTGAGGTTACTCAAATGACATCATACATGGGGCCCTGGTTTGGATTAGGTCTTTGCCTGGGAGTCAATCACAGCAGGAAGTGAAGGGGATACAAAGAGCAGTGCAGGACTTGCTTCAATCAATGGCTGCATCAATGTTGAACACCCAACCAAAACTATACACATAACTACATAGCCTCTGTCCTCAAATCTGTCCAACAGAAAGAGCGTAAATGCTAGAAAAGTGTGCAAACAGAAATTAAAATGATTCCTTTTACTCTTAAAATCAAAACAGGGAGAGATTATTTGCATTATAGGCCTGAAATACATTATAGACAAAACAGAAAAAAAAGCTTGCTCAGATGATCTGGGCAGGATCAACATACAATTGGACCAACATAGCCTATATTGAGTTGAAATAGCGGCCAGATGCGTGAAACTGTAACGCACTAATGGACCTCTCAAGACAAACGACATTAAACATGATTCATTGTGGCCGTTTAGGCGACGATCCCGCTACACACAGTCCTAATGTAGAGCTGCACTGGATTATAGAATAGTTATTGCTGCACATACAACTATAACAGATCTACTCTAAAGTGTTACAACAGCTACAGCACACGTGGAAATAAAAAAATGTGATAGAAATAATAATATAAAAACACACTCGATAGGCTATAGGATTTTCCAGAGTGCGCATATATATTTGCGTTTCAGTGTAAGCAAGCGCGCATTCGTGGGCTATGTATAAAATCATGTGTGCGCGCTTGTGCATGTGAGAATGGAGAGAGAGAGAGAGAGAGAGAGAGAGAGAGAGAGAGAGAGAGAGAGGGAGAGATTTTATTGTAATGCACAGAACGACCTGCCCTCTTTTGAAAAAAAGCGAGAAAGCGCAGCCATGCTTTGCAGAGGCTACAGCATCGCTCTCATTGGTAGTAGGAGCTTCTCGCCAAACCGAGTCTTTGCTTGTCCGCCGCCACTCCGAAAGGAACCGGGAATACAAGCGACTGCCTCCGCGATGTAAAGATCTGCAGTGAGGTATTAATGCTAAAGTGAAGTGAAAATACAGCAGAGCACGGATACATATTAGCAGATCCACCGTGCGGCGTGGACCAAATCATGGTGAGTATCTGATGCTTGCGTTTTGCTTTATGCTCGACCCTTTGATCAAATATTTATAAGATGAATGCGTAGTCTTGCTTCACCCGTTCGTAGAATATGTATTTCAATAGTTCAGATGAGAATACTGATCATTTTGTGTCTGCAGGGATATGTTTGTTCTTTACGCTCCCACATGCACGTTGCACTTGCCATTGTTATTGCGGTCTTTGGGGGGGAATAAACCACGTTAGGAAAGAGCGCTAACAAAAAGAAGGCACTAGAAAAAACATCATTAGCCCGAGGAGGGTGGACAGATCGTTTTATGTCGACGGTTGCATAATCAATAAGAAGGGGAACGAGAACAGTGGATTTCTGAGCCACATCGTTTGTTCGTTGCGCGGCGCTAAAGGACAATAGGGGTCGTGTTCCTGTCGGTGGCCAGTTACATAGAGGGACCCGAAATATGGTGATGTGCTGACGAGCCGTGATGAGGCTCCAAACGATGGCCAATACGAGAGATGCCGGGTTTTCAGGGGATGGGGACGTTTCCGTCTAAAATGGCGTTTCCCTTTGTTTCTGCGTCCCTCTCATCTCTGTTATAGCGAGTGGGTAATGCATTGCAATTACCATATCTGCCAGCCTGCGCCTCTTCATTTCCACTACACTGCTTTACACGCAGGGGATTTTGCTCTTTAATGGTAAAACACGGGCTGTCAGATGTAGAACGGGTCCCCAGGACGATGAGCTCAGAGGCTCCGGCAGGCTCAGATAGGGAAGCAGGTGACTGTTAATTATGATTAGACAGCACTGACTTCATTTGAATTTCAGCAGTTTTTAGCCTGCAATCGTCGCAATGCAAACCAATAGGTTCTCTGTCTGCATCACTGCAGATAATACTGGATTATGATCTCGTATCAGTGTCAGCCCACATACAATAACGTAATTATTATGAAAGTAATTTATCATTTGATGCGCATCTCAAGCATAACCCTCGTGACAGATGCAATACTATTGACTTATTTAGTGTCATTTTTAAAATCGTATTCCAAGCACTAAAAATCAGTCGCAGCTCATCACATCAAACAGCGGGCTCAGGATGACACGAGCATCCCTCCCTCATCCCTATGTGTGTGTAAGTGTAAGAGAACGAGTGTATGTGCGCATGCCCGTGCATGAGTGTGAGTCTGCAGTGTGTTTGTACATACACGCGTGTGCTCCTTTTTTTTTTCTTTTTTTTTTTAAATAGTGCAATGTTGCATAATCGTTCTCAACCAATGCCAGATTCAGGGCTTCACAATTTGCGGGGCCATTGTTGGCATTTCCTCTGTTGGCCCGTAAATTCACACACACGCGCGCGCAAACAAGTTCACAAACCAACTGCAGGACTCTTAACACATTTCGGCGATAAACGTTAATACTCCGAATAGGAAGTCGTCAATTTCCGTCCTAGTTTCAAGGACACAGGGTAGTCATGAGGAGGACGATGGGTAATATAGAGGAACATCTGTTTGCCCGATGACGTCAACACCCCCCCCCCCCCCCCCCCCCAACCCCCCCCCCTTCTTCCCAATCCTCTTGTGCTGAAGGCAGATGCCTCATTTGTTAGGCTGGAGCACCATTAATCCCAAAGTTAGAGGAAAAGACCGGACGGAGAGAGATCAGTCCCATTTAGGCGGTGTCAGTGCTGGGCTCGCGCTGCACTGCTCGGTCTCGGTGTCCCGGTCAGTTTGCTGTTGGGGAGAAGCGCGTGCAGGGGCGCATGTACGTAGAGCACCGCTGTGTTCAGGACAACCGCAGTTACCACGGCTATTCAGCTGCCCCGTTTGCGATTTGCGGCAGTTTTTAACGTAGCCTATGACCCGCAACTAGCGGCTGCATGCTTTTGTGTGTGTGCGTTATGTGACTAGGAAAATCAATATTTTGGACATGGACAGTGACGTTTTTTTCTGTACGTAGAGCGCCAAGTGATTTTTTTTAACAGGTCAATGGGGAATATGAGATTTTTGTCATCTGCAATTCTTTATGAAGTTCATGACGCATTTTGTGTTTTCTTTTATTTGTAGGTGCATTATGGGATAATGGAGGACTTTTACGCTTTCTGCACTTTTGGACAAAGCAGTCGACGGAAAAGCATCAAACGGAGTCCTTTTACGCCTGCAAAAGCGGCCTGGGACTTATAACTACTTTGCCCAAAAAACTACCTGGCTGTTTTGCGTTTAAGTTATTCCTGTAAACTAACCTCTTGTCCCTACAATTGAATGTTGTGGGTTTTTTTTTTTTTTTTACATAATACGGTAGACTTGCACAACAACCGGGAGAGGATTTGATCTCTTTGGACCCGTGCTTGGGATTTTTTTATTTTTGACATTTTTGACCAAACTTGACATCCCGATACAGTTTTTAGTCACACAACACGGGCCTCAAAGGCTGCAAAAATATGTGATTTATATTTGTAAAAACAGATTTGACGGAAAGGTGTCTGGCCGCTTCCCACAGCAGAGTGAATGCAGCTGGACACACACGACACATTCCTACACACATGCATGCAAACACACACAGACGAGTGGGTTGTGTCTCTCCGTGTTCACAGCGGACCTTGATTTAATGTCTTACAATTAAGGCACGCGGTGAATGCCAAGAGATTATCCTTCTTTCTTCGGATGTCTGCAGATCCAAAAAAACACATCCCATCTTTTAACTAATTACATATATAGACAGCAGTCTATTGGTGTTGCTTTCTCAGTGAAGGTTTGCTTCTGCCGTTTCAAACTGTAACCCATTACTCATGTACTGTCTCTTTCCCCCTCTCGTCCAACAATAAAGCAAATACATACAACCATTTTAAAGCTCTGTTTTTTTCATGTGGACATGCATGTGATGGCTCCTGTGTGTGTGTGTGTGTGTGTGTGTGTGTGTGTGTGTGTGTGTGTGT